GGAGGGTGAGATTAAGGCCGAACCTATGATCCGTATAACTTAAAAATTGCTTACGGCACGTGTTTGATAAGTTGCTTTAAAAAAAAAGTGAGAGTAAAGTACACGACGACATCATGGAAGTCATATGCAATTGAAATGTTTTAGGTTACATACGTGAACAAATGTTTATGCATGAAGCTTTGATATATATGACATTGTCTTTGTTTTTTCAAAGTGTTTAGACTAATTTCTATCGTTCTCTTTGTAACTTTTTTCTTTCTTTCGTTTTTTTCTTTCGTTTCAAAAGTTGGGTTGAAATGTCATATGGTTGACTGAAAGTTTAGCCTAACTTATTTATTTAATTGTAGCTGACATTTTCCGGTAAATTAATCTATATATATATAATTACTAGCTAAGCAATAAATTTTATCTAATAAATAAAACCTAATAAATTTTACCTATGTGGCAAATCATTAATAAAACCTAATAAATAGAACCTAATAAATTTTATTTATGTGACATTAATACACCCAATCTCATTAATAAGAAAATATTTCATTACATTTTTTGGGTTAATTAAGACAAAAACCATTATATGTTATGTTAATTGATTAATAATTATATTTTTTATTGAATAATATAATAGTTAATATTAAAATTAGTAATTATATTTTATATTAAATAATATATGAAAGTTACATAAAATTATATTTTACACTAAAATCAACATTTTTTTATATGATGAAGATGTTGTTTATTAATAAATTAACTTTTTTTATGTCATAGTAAAATTTCTTAAAATCACATAAGCAGTTGTTATAATAAATGTAATATTTTTCAGCTAATTAATTGGTCATGATCACTCAAAATTATAAAAAGTATATATTTATTGCATTTTATGCAATCAATATAGTGATTCGTATACAATCAAATCGTTTGTACTATTTATTTTAACCAATGATCAAATTTTAAAATATAATACTATTATATAATATATAATTTTAATATTATATACATAAATATAACTTATAATACTATATATTTGAAATATAATACAATTATATAACTTATAATTTTTATATTATATACATAAATATAACTTATAATATTTAATTTTATTTACATCTGTACAAATGCACAAGGTCGAATACTAGTTATAGTAAGATATCTAGTGGATTCCATTTGCAATCTGGTAAAATTGCAATTAAGTTAAGCATCTTTCAAGATTTTGCTAATCAAATGACAACAAAAGATGTGATTTTGAATACCTAACTTTTCGTTTAATTGATTCGACAATCAATTTGATATTAACCAATTAGTAATAAATTGGATTTTAATCAATTAAGTGCTCTCTTCATTGCAGAAGCGTGTTGGATTTTCGTCAATTAGGGAAGTAGAGATTCCTCTAGCAGTGGCCTCCTAGCGAAACCAGAATAAATTGAAGACTTTTTAGTGCATGGTAAATGATAATTTTTTTCCCCTTAAATGAAAAAAAAGGGTAAATAGCGGATTTGTTGCGTAATTTTAATGTCAGTATACCACATTCAAATTATCTCAATTTGAATATCCTAATTATTAAAAAAAACCCATAATTTTCATACCCAACCGAGGTTGCTGTAAAAAATCTGGGTATGAAAATTGCAAGTGTTTTCATAGTTAGAGTAGAAATTGAGATACTTTGAATCAGGGACCCTCACAATTAAATTGCACCTTAATTAGGGTACTATTGAAGTTGCTATTTACCCAAAAAAAGAAAAATGTAAACTTTCACCGAGTGTCCAAGAAAAAATCTTTGCAACTGCAATTGTATTTATTTTCCTTTTTCTTTTTTTTTATTTTTTTATATGTAAAAAAGGAGAGGATAGACGTGTTAATAAGATGCTGAGAATGCATTGGGTGTAAATAGCAGGTGTAAACTCGACTGTTGTAAAGTTTAACTAGTAATTTTCCGGTTATACACTAGAGTGTAGAAAATTTAGCAAAATCTCAAGAGTGATTGCTTGCAATTGGAAATCATACAATTTGGAGAAAAGTCGAAGCAACCAATGAACATTAGATCTTGAAGTGTAATGTTGTCACTACCACATTCGATCGAATACAACATCTGTCCGGCTTTGTTTCCATTAAGAAACACTGGTCGCATTTATAAGACAATAGTAGTGTAAATAGCAACTCGATATGATCTTACACTAGTAAAGAACTAAAGAGGAAGTTAATGTGGGTATTAGCAGGGTGAAATATATAGACGTGTTGATGTAGAGAAGCTTATGAGTGAGACAATATTAATGAGATCGCAATCTCATGAGCATCTAAACACGATAAACACTAATTTTCTTATTTCATTCAATAATCAACTACTACTACTAATCCTAGGCAAGGATTGAACTGCTGCAAAGGCACATGTCAATCTTAGGCAATGACTGAACTGCTGCAAAAGCACATGTCCACGTCTCCATACGCATAACCCACACAACTGAATTGACACTAAACATACCACATCCTTCGCCGCGCTCAAATCCATAACTACGGCCAAGCATCCCGTTGTTGGGAGGCTTCGCGATAGATGTTTGATTGTAGAGAAAGGTTGAAGAAGGTGAAGAATACAACGAGAGAGAGAAGGGAAAGATTGATCGATTGAAATTCTGAAAAATGGGAAAAAGTCAAAGTGTACAGTGCTATAGGTCCTATTTATACTAGGGTAAATACAAGAGAAAATACTAAATACATGGAATAAAAAATACATTAATAAATATAAAAATACATTGCCCTTAAAATTCTAATATCCCCCACAACCTAAACATGAACATTGTTCAAGTGAAGCTTGGACTGAAGATATTCAAATTGTGGTCTTGGTAGGGCTTTGGTAAGCAAATCAACAGACTGCTCTTTAGTGTTGATGTAGTTGACAGAAATCAGCTTTTGAGAAATCTTCTCTCAAATGAGGTGACAATCAATTTGAATGTGCTTGGTTCTTTCATGAAAAACAGGATTTGATGCAATAGCTAATGTAGGTCTACTATCTGAAAATAGAGAAACTGGACCAATATGAGTTAAAGAAAAATCCTGATACAGATACAAAAGCCATTGCATTTCACAAGCAGTGAAGGCCATGGCTCTGTATTCTGATTCAGCAGAACTTTTGCTTATTGTGGATTGTTTCTTGGACTTCCAGGAGATTAAAGATTTTCCTAAAAAAACTGCATAGCCTGTAATGCTTCTCCTGGTGTCCAAGCAACTTGCCGAATCACTATCACAATAGGCAGTTAAATGAATATCTGAAGATCTAGAGAAGAGGATACCCTTACCAACTGTTCCTTTGATGTACCTTAATATTCTGTGTGCTGCTGCCAAGTGATGAGTGAAAGGTTTTGAAACAAATTGACTCAAAGTTTGTACACTATAAGCAATGTCAGGCCTTGTTATAGTTAAGTACAAAAGTCTGCCAATTAACCTTCTAAACTCAGTTTCATTTGTTAAGGAATCAGAATCAGAAGCACATTGGAATTTTTGAGTAGGATCCATTGGAGTATGAGATGGTTTACATCCTAAGTATTCTGTATCCTCTAAAATGTCCAATGCATATTTTCTTGAAAACATGTTGATTCCTTTATCAGAATGGGCAAACTCTAAGCCTAAAATGTACTTGAGTTTGCCTAAATCTTTAATAGTAAAACAAGAGTCTAAATGTTGTTTGATGGCTGTGATTTTGGCTAAATTATTACCAGCTACGATGATGTCATCAACATATACTAATAAAGTCAAAAAATCAGAATCAGAATGATCATGTAATGTAAAAAGAGAACAATCAGCAGTGGACTGTGTGAAACCATATGCAAGTAAACAATTTGTTATTTTTTGGAATCATTGCCTTGAAGCTTGCTTAAGGCCATAAAGGCTCTTAACAAGTTTGCAAACCCTGTTGTCAGATGGTGAGCAATAACCAGGAGGAGGAGTCATATAGACTTCCTCATCCAAGTCACCATGCAAGAATGCATTGTTGACATCAAGTTGATGTATATGCTATTTTTTAATAGCAGCTAAAGCAACTAAAAATCTGACTGTGGTTATTTTGGCTACTGGAGAGAAGGTATCAAAATAGTCAATACCTTCCTCTTGTGTGTAACCTTTAGCCACTAGCCTAGCTTTATACCTTTCTACAGAACCATCAGCTTTATATTTTATTTTATAAACCCATTTGGAACTGATACAATGTTTGTTTGGGGGTAAATCAGTTAAAATCCAAGTATTGGTTTGTTCTAAAGCTGTGATTTCTTTGTTCATAGCCTCTTGCCATAAAGGATTCTTTATGGCTTGAGTATATGTTTTTGGTTCTGTAGTACAGGATATAGATGCAGTGAATGAACAATGAGATGAAGACGAATGAGATGTGGAAAGATAATCAGCAATGGGATAATGGGATGCTCCAGAAGTGTTGTGAGAGATGTTAGTAGAAGAAGATTCTGAAGAAACAAGGTTTGAAGATGGTAGTTTGTGTTCATAGATGTTTAAGTATGCTGGGGTTTTAGAAGTTCTGGTGGATCTTCTTCTAGGTGGAGAGCTGTTTGCTGGTATGATAGCATTGGTATTTGTAGTAGAAGAACTATTTGCAGGTATGGTATTAGTAGTAGGAGATTGTTGTTCTAGTTGTGGTGTTGGGAAAGGTATAATGGGAGTCTGAGTGTCAGGTGAAATAAGAAAATTTGGGACAGTTGTAGTGTCATAAGTGAATGGCTGTGGTTCAGGGAACATAGCAGAGGGGTTGAAAGGTTTAGTTTGGTATGGAAAAACATTCTCATAGAACAACACATTTCTGGAAATGAATATTCTCTTGGCTTCCAGGTTATAAAGTTTATAGCCTTTATAACCAAGAGGATAACCAATGAGTATGCATTTAGATGCCCTGGGTTCAAATTTGGATCTATGAGCAGTTAACGTTGATGCATAACATAAGCAACCAAATGACTTTTAAATGATCATAAGATGGGGATTTCTTGTAAAGAAGCTCAAAAGGAGATTTATTTTGTAAAATGCTGGAAGGAACTCTGTTTATAATGTGAGTGGCAGCTAAAATACAATCAATCCAAAAAGTCAGAGGTAAAGATGCATGAAAAAGTAGAGCCCTAGCCACTTGAAGCAAATGTTGATGTTTTCTCTCCACCCTACCATTCTGTTGTGGGGTTTCCACACAGCTGGTTTGGTGGAGTATGCCATTAGATGAATAGAAATCAGATAGTGAAAACTCAGAACCATTGTCAAACCTCAACATTTTAATTTTTGTATTAAATTGAGTTTGAACCATATTGTTAAAGTGTGACAAATGTGTTCTGGTTTCAGATTTATGAATGAGGGGAAAAATCCAAGTGACCCTGCTATAATCATCTACAATGGTAAGAAAAAATCTTTGACCTGAATGAGATGCAACAGAGAAGGGGCCCCAAATATCACAATGAATAAGATCAAATGGTGAAGAACTAGTAGAAGTGCTTGCTGGAAAAGTAAGTTTCTTCTAGAAAAATGGCACACATCACATGGTGAAGTAATGAGATTCTTGCATATAGGTTTGCAAATGTCAAGAGTATTCAACTTTGAATAAGAGAGATGTCCAAGTCTTTGATGCCACAAAGTTTGTTCAGTTACAGGTAAAGGTAAAGTTACATTTTCAGCAACATGTACATGAGAAGGTTCAAAAGATACATGAGGAGGTTCAGAAGATACATGAAAATGTTCAGAAGACACATGAGAAGACAAAAATTTTGGTGATGTGCTGATCCTGTATAATGCAATGAGATGACAAAAATTTTATTGTACATGTGAGAGTGTTGGCTAGTTTAGAAACATATATCAAGTTGAATTTGAAAGTGATTGGTCGGAAAAAATGTGTATTTTATATATTTATTAGCGTATTTTTATATGCTTAATTTTTATCGCACTTATATGTTTTTCGACTTATTTATTTATTAGATGGATTTGAGTACTATGATATTTTTATGTTTATTTTCAGAATATTAGAGTGTTTTCATGGACGGTGCAATACTGAACGGAAGTTTATGTGATTAATTACTGGATCTTCCCATTACCCGTCAATTTAGCCCACAATGTGCCGCACAGATTTTGGAATGGGCTTGTATAACAAATAATTAATGGTCTTGAAGTGTGGGGCCCAAAATTACTTTGACCCGTGAGGATTATTTGGAAGAAGAAAATCACTCATGCATGCCATCTATTTGGGAATTATTGCTATTTTTCTGAGGGCCCCACGATTGAGTAGATTAGGCAAGTGATATTTCTTGGCAAGAGAATTATTTGTGTTGAGGGGGATTTAATTAAAAAAGGCCGTAGAGACTTGGGACTCGTATACGTGGAGGTGAATTAATATGGAAAAGGAATCATATTTTTTTTGAGAAGGATTTATTTAGGAGGGCCGATATATTCACACATACGCAAAAAAAAAAGTAGCCGCCATCATATTAGGATTTCACGCACAACAGAACGGAGGGAAAAGAGCCGCACAGAGATATACACACAGACAGAAGACAGACGAGAAGAGCCCGACGAATCGCGGAGGGAGACCGCACCCACACACGAGGGAGAATTTTATTCTCTCTCTTTTTTCTTTTATTTTTTATTTTTTATTTATTATGTTAGGCTAGATTTTATTTCTAGTTCTGGGGATGTCGAACCCTATGACTTGACGATGTTTGATTAATTTTCATGGTTGATTATTGAGTTGTCTTTTTGGAATTGTTTGTGTTATTTTGAATAATTCACCATGATGTGTTAGTCTTGTTTAGATTGATCACCT